CCCCAAAACCCCAAAACCCCGTTGAATGAATAAGCAATAGAATTTTCTAAAATAAAGATATTTTGAATATTCTAAGATATGAACAAAACCATAAAACTAAATTATAAAATTTTCACCATCAATTTTTAGGTTTAAGCTCTATTAAGATAGTCTTTTGAATTTCAACAGGTGTTCTACATACTGGGCATTTTAATTAAGTTACTCTTCCATTATCTTAAATGTCTTTGAATTACTTAAAAAAGCATCTATTACAAGAGCATAAATGATTGCATGGAACCATAATCACATTTTTAGCATTCTCCATGCATATAATGCATAAGCTTTTCTCATTAATCTCAACTTTACTTCCACCTTATTTTAGAGGTTTGGTCTTATCCAAAGCTTAAATATGATACTGCATATTGATAATTTATCTTTCCAATAAATATCTAACTGTATAGACCCCTGAAAGAAAAAAGAATAATCCTGTCAAAAGCAAACCCACACTGAACTTTGACTAGTATTTATTTTAATGAAATTTTAGTAACTCAAGTAATTCTTTTATTCCTCCTGCGATAGCTGATATTGTTTATTTATACTCCCATATACCTTTTTCTATGTTGAATTGAAATAAACATAGTAGACTAATTGCCTAACCTTCATAAGCGATTATTGAAGTGGTTTCGATCATACTTTCAGTAGATCCTTTACTTTTTGAGTTTATCTTTACATCTTTTTACAGCCCTATCAAGTTTGTATTATGCTAAAACTGCATTGGCATTAATCTTTGAGTTTCCTCATCAATTAAAATTATATCTTTACGTTATTTCTCTTTTTAACCAGAAACTCTACTTATTTTCAGAGGAAGACTGTCACTGAGATTTCTCTTTAATTCTATTTTGTGAAGTGCTAGATTGCTGTTCATGTGTCTTATTCTTCTATCTAGATGTTCTTTATATTCTTCATCACTGTTAAGTTTTTTGTCATCTTCATAATAATTCATTAGAACTCCTTTGACCATTGCATATCTAGTATATTAAACTCTGTTATTCTTAAATGGTTTCTGCATTTTGCTAATAGACTCAGGTGTGTGAATAAATCTCTATTCCTTTAAATTATTCTTCATTTTCCCAACTTTAATGTCATATTGCTATTTAAGTTTGTATAATGAAATGACACCACCTATTCCTAACACCGAAAAGGTGATAGCCTTTTTTAAATCTTCCATTAAATTCTTTAAATTGCTTTAATTTCAATTAATTTACTAATAATCGACAATGGGGTTTTGGGGTTTTGGGGTTTTGGG